CTCAGAAAAAAAAAAAAAAATTTTTTTTTTCTTCCACAGCCAAATTTCTGCATTATCACTTACTCAAAAGTCCTAGCTTATGGGCTACTCTGACTTCAGATGGGTCCAGTAGTTGATTAGTCCAAATACCAACCATACATGATTTCAATATTAAGATTATTTTAGCTACCTAGGGATTCTGAATTCCCCAAATCTCTGAAATTGCTTGTAATAAGTATCTATAGAATTGTGTTAATAGTCATCTTAGTAAAAGGCAGTACTGATACAGTACTGTACTATGATATGTTTAGTAAATCTTCGATTAACAAGTGCACATAGGTATAATTCTTTGTATTTTTGGAAAAATAGGCAATCTGAGAAAAATAAATATTGGAGGTTTAAACTAGTAAAGCTGTCTTTGGCCTGTGGCAAGAAGTAGAGACGACCCTAAAGAAAATGGTGGAAGATTCTCAGGCTCTACCTGTCCCCAGAGACTGCTTTAGACAATTGGCGGGGGAGAACTTTTGGAATCTGTTTAATATGCTGCCTAGGTGATTCAAGCAGCTAGGGTTGGAAATGACTTGTTTTTGCCCTGTTTGGGTTCTCTTTACTCCCTTCAAACTCTTACAGTAATTGGTATTAAATGAATATTCTACAAAAGCACCCTAATAGTCTGACTCTGTCTACTCAAGGATATATGGCTCCCACAATTCTCTGCTCCTGCATTTGCCCTAGGTAAGGAGCACTAGATGCAAACCCATGTCTCAGGCAAAGATACAGCTCCAGCAGTCCTCTCCTCTCTCTATTGCATCTATTTTCTTTCTCTACTAAATCATTTCCAAAAGCATAATAAGCATGTTATTAAAAAATCTTTTGATCCTATATCGCTTGCTAGTGATTATTTTACTGCTCCCCTTTATAAAAGCAAAACTCAAGAATTTTCTAAACTTCCCCCAGTTTATTACCCCCTCCTTTTTTTCACCAACTTGTTTTATTAGGAAAAAAAATTCAAACAGAAAAGTTGAAAGACTTTCCCACATAAAATACTTCCCTAATTTAACATCAAGTCCTTATTTCAGATTTTTCCATGTGTCTCTTTTTTAAATAGCTACCTTCATCCCCCAAAATAGGATTCAATTAAGATTCTTACTTTCTGGAAATACTAGGCCTGTTGTCTTCTCGAGTTTTTCTTTGTAGTGTCATTAATTTTAACTTCTAATATCCCTTTGAACTTCCTGTAAACTGAAAGGTCTAAAGTTTTTGTAAGTTTCAGGTTAAACTTGTGCAGGAGTGCAAGGTGATGCTATGGTCTCCGTATTGCATCACACAGTTATGGCTTTTCCAGGCTAAGTTTGGACACTTGGTTAGGTCATCTGATAGGTGATTAGACTTTGTCTCCACTCCGTTACTCTTAGTAAAATGCAGCAAAGATTTCCACTTTGTTTAATCAGCAGCCAGCATTTGACCTTGAAGCACTCTTCAGTTGGCTTGCAAAATACTACACTTGCTTGATGTTTCTCCTTTACTGGCTGCTCCTTCTCAGTCTGTCTTTTGCTGCTGGCCCAATCCTGATTTCCCTGAATTTTGCTAAAACATAAGTGTGCCCCCAAGCTCAACCTTGGGCTGCGTGCCTCCTCTCGTAGTACTCATCTTGGTGATCTCATCTCATCACATAAGGACATCAGATTATATTAACCTCTCCATGTGACATCTTCAGTTAGGTATCTAGTAGACACCTCGAAATTTATGTCTAAAACTTATTTTTGCCTCTGAAATTTTTCCTCTCAGTCATCCTCAATCACTTAATGGCCACTCCATTCTTTGTTTCAAGGCAGAAACGGTCTTGGACTCCTCACATCCTTCATCTAATCTTAGTTCCACCTAAAATGTTAACATCTCTACTGCCATTACCCTAATCCAAGACACTATCATAGTTTGCTTTGATTATTTCCGTGGTTTCTTAACCGGTCTTTGTTTTGCCTCATTTTGTCTCCTCTTACCCATCCTATTCTCTCATAGCAACCAGACTGATCCTTTAAAACTCTTAAGTCTTGTTTAGATGGCTTCCTACCTAAGTAAAAGAAACTTCACAAAGGTCTGTGGAGCCCTAAATTACCTGCACTCAACCCCACCTCATTCAATTCCTATTGAATTCCTCCTGCTCACTCTACCTTGTCCACATTGGCCACCTTTGCTCTTCTTCCAGCGTAGCTAGCCATAGGATTTTTGTTAGTGCTAGTGTCTGCCTAGCATGCTCTTCTCCCACAAAACTTCATGGAAAATTTTTTCCTCACTCTTGACTTTGCACAAATGTCATCTCAATGAGGCCTGCTCTGACCACTCTGTTTAAAATTGCAGCCTGAACATCCTGATGCTCTGCCCTGCATTTGTTTGTTTTATTCCCTCTGCTAAATGCAATGAAGGCAGGGATCTTTGCTCACTGGCATACAGTGCCTGGCACATGGCACATGCTTGGTATTTTTTGAATGAATTTCACCCTACTTCAGGGTTTTCAGATCAATATTTCTTAAATGAAAGATTTAGTAAAGCAGAATACTTCCTTTGTAAGATATTTTGGTAGAGGTTTCCTGAATTACAGAATGGACACAGAATTGAACTGACATTTCATAGGCTGTCTTTGAGGGTTTTGTGCTCCATTAATGATTACCACAAAGGAGCTTCATGTTTTAATTTTATAACTCTTTTGTGTATTCATTGTGAAAATAGGGCAGTTTTCGACTGGGCATGGTGGCTCATGCCTGTAATCCCAGCACTTTGGGAGGCCTAGGTGGGTGGATCGCTCGAGCCCAGGAGTTCAAGACCAGCCTGGCCAACATGGCAAAACCCCATCTCTACTAAAAATACAAAAATTAGCCGGGCGTGGTGGTGCACGCCTGTGGTCCCAGCTACTTGGGAGGCTGAGGCAGGAGAATGGCTTGAACCCAGGAGGTGGAGGTTGCAGTGAGCCCAGAACGTGTCACTGCACTCTAGCCGGGGCGACAGAAAGAGACTCTGTCTCAAAAAAGAAAAAGAAAACAGGGCAGCTGCCATGCTGTTACTTTCTTACATAATCTTTAGTGAGGAAAGTCAAAGTGGTTCAGTGCATGACATGCGTTTAGGTTGGATAAATTCAGCTTAGTACCCAGCAAAAGAAAAGTAAGGCACGGCTACTTACTCTACTCAGTGAATCTGTGCCTTAGATGTGAATCTGCTGGTCTGTGTGAGGCCAGTTCCTCTGTACCTTATAGTGTAAAAAGCATCTTGCCGTATGAGTGTTGTTCAAAGTAATGGTTTCTAAACACTGACAATTTTATCTGGTGCTCATATGCATCATTTGAAACCACACTGTACATAGTGATGGTGTCCTTGTATTGGAAGACCTTCCCTGTTGCCAACTTCCTTACCTTAAATAGATGGAAAATCATTAAAATCACCTATTCTTTCTCTAGATTTGTACTAACTATTGTTTAAAAATGAAACACATGGTTGGAGGCAAGACTAGAAGAAGAATGACTAGAATATTGAGAAAAAATATTGAGCTAATTGCTATGAAGGTAAATCATGGAAATCTCATTGACTTAACGTGAGAAATTTATTCTTTGATCATATTCATTTAGTGGGCTGTGTTTCATACCCTCACTCAAGGACCCCTAGAATGACAGAGGCTCTGTCTTTAATACATGGATTCCAAAGTGTCAAAGCCTCTCTTTGTCCAGTTGCTTTCTATGATAATGGTGGTACTTGTGTTTAGTTTGCATATAATAAATTTCGTAACATTCAAGATGACAGTCCTGTGTACATATGTAGAGGTGTTTACATTCTGTTGAATAAGAAATCCTGGCACCTTTTAAATGAAGATGAAAAGATACCTAATCTAACTTAACTTCCTATGCTGGTCATTGTCTTTCCCAAAGCTCTGCAGGGCTAGGTGCTTTCTGCTCTGACTTGCAGTTGATTATTTATGGTACCTTGGGGTTTCCCCTTATTTTTAACCTTGGCAACATTTTGACTTTTTTTTTTTTTTTTTTTGGAGACATATTCATCTAGCTTTTTTTTTTTTTTTTTAAGACGGAGTTTCGCTCTTTTTGCCCAGGCTGGAGTGCAATGGTGCAATCTCGGCTGACTACAACCTCCACCTTCTGGCTTTAAGCGATTCTCCTGCCTCAGCCTCCCATGTAGCTGGGATTACAGGTGTATACCACCACGCCCAGCTAATTTTGTATTTTTATTTTATTTTTTTTAGATGGAGTCTCGCTCTGTCACCCAGGCTGGAGTGCAGTGGCCGATCTCAGCTCACTGCAACCTCCACCTCCTGGGTTCGAGCAATTCCCCTGCCTCAACCTCCTGAGTAGCTGGGACTACAGGCACATGCCACCATGCCTGGCTAATTTTTTGTATTTTTTAGTAGAGATGGGGTTTCACCATGTTGGCCAGGATGGTCTTGATTTCCTGCCCTAGTGATCCGCCCGCCTCGGCCTCTCACAGTGCTAGGATTACAGGCATGAGCCACCGTGCCTGGCCTTCTTTTTTTTTTTTTTTTTAAGTTGTAAGACTAAAGGAAATGGAGAGGCAGAGACAGTTTTGGAACCTGTAGTAACCAGGAGAAACAACCTGTAAGATATTCGTGTTACTTATTCTTTTTTTTCTTTGAGACGGAGTCTCACTGGTCGCCCAGGCTGGAGTGCAGTGGCGCAATCTCAGCTCAGTGCAAGCTCCGCCTCCCGGGTTCACGCCATTCTCCTGCCTCAGCCTCCAGAGTAGCTGGGACTACAGGCGCCCGCCACCACGCCCGGCTAATTTTTTGTATTTTTAGTAGAGACGGGGTTTCACCGTGTTAGCCAGGATGGTCTCCATCTCCTGACCTCGTGATCCGCCCACTTCAGCCTCCCAAAGTGCTGGGATTACAGGCGTGAGCCACCGCGCCTGGCCTCATGTTACTTATTGCCTAGTACACTAAAGTGAGGAATGCCAGTGCAAGAAATTGTGAGAGGAGGAATGAGGATTGCTAAAACAACTGCAAATAACTTATACTCCTGGATAATGGAATTTATTACATTTTTATACTCTGTAAGTTCAAGAAAGATTTACTCACAATTTAGTAATGACTTTGTGGAAAGTACAGTAAAATGTGTGAGCAGTTTTAGTTACGTATTATTTGTTGGATTCTAAAGCACTCCACAGTGTTTTGATATATGCCTGTTTGGGGTTAGCAATGTACTTTTCTTGTTAAACATCACATGGGGATTGCACATTTATCTTCTCACCAAAACAGGTTCCTCTAGTGTATGTAAATATGACTGGTCACCTTTTTCTCTTAAGCTGAATGTCATAGTTCTGGCTTCACTTATTTGCTTTCTAGCAGCCTCCCCATGTTAGCCTTGCCACATGGTCAGTCTTCTGTTTGGTAGGTTTTATGAATCCTAAAAGTTCTAGTTCAGAAACAGCTCTAATAAACCGAGCACTGGAGGCTTTAGTTAAGGAAACTGGCCGTGCTGTATTTTTGACAAAAAGGGGTTAAAATCTCAATGTTAAAATACTAGTTGGTAAAGTGAAGTAGACAGTTCAAATATAAACTTCTAAATTAAACTATAACTGTTACTGGAAAACATTAATTAGTATGCACTGTCAATAAAACATAAATGGAAAAGTACTTAATGCTTCCTAAATCTAATGTTCTACATAGTATAGAAATTGCTCCCCGTTCCCACTTCTAAATGTACATTAGAAAAATAGAGAATTCACACCAGGTGCAGTGGTTCACACCTGTAATCCCAGCACTTTGGGAGGCCGAGGCAGGCAGATCACCTAAGATCAGGAGTTCGAGACCAGCTTGGCCAACGTGGTGAAATCCTATCTCTCCTAAAAATAAAAAAATTAGCCAGGCATGGTGGCAGGCACCTGTAATCCCAGCTACTTGGGAGGCTGAGGCAGGAGAATCGCTTGAACCCAAGAGGCAGAGGTTGAGGAGAGCCGAGATCGCGCCACTGTACTCCAGCTTGGTCAACAATAGCGAAACTCTGTCTCAAAAAAAAAAAAAAGAAAAGAAAAGAAAGAATTAGGCCAGGTGAGGTGGCTCACACCTATAATCTCACCACTTTGGGAGGCCAAGGTGGGCGGATCACAAGGTCAGGAGTTTGAGACCAGCCTGGCCAACATGGTGAAATCCTGTCTCTACTAACAACACAAAAATCAGCCGGGCGTGGTGGCAGGTGCCTGTAATCCCAGCTACTTGGGAGGCTGAGGCAGGAGAATCACTTGAACCCAGGAGGTGGACGTGGCAGTGAGCCAAGATTGCACCATTGCACTCCAGCCTAGGCAACTGAGCGAGACTCCATCTCAAAAAAAAAAAAAAAGAAAAAAGAGAATTCAATAATGGCAGTTTCATTTTTGGTAAATTTTAAAATATAATCTTGATATAAATTTGATACCAAAAGTTTTAGGTTTGGTCTCATTTTGGATTACATTCAAAATAAAGATTCAGAAATTTCAGTTATTCTAGCACCATATGGTTAATTTTAACAAGTAATACGGTTGTTTGGAGTATACCTTTATAAATATCTAGTGTAGATCTGGAGAAATTATAAACTTATATTTTATGTGTATTTGGACATTGTAGAAATGGTTTTAAAAGGATACTGGATAATTTCATTCATTTCTTCTGAGGTTGCAGAATTTGCATCCATTTTTTCAGCAGCTGTCACAACTGTTGCAAAAGCCTTTTGAATAGACAAGAGAGAAGAAAATAAAAATGTCTACAGTTGCCAAACATCTTTTACTATACTTCTTTTAATGGCTGTTGATAGCTGGCACATATTCTTCACTGAAATTTAAGATTGTCAAAACTACACTGATGATCTCTTTACACCACTTATATGTTAAAAGATAAAGTAATGGTTCCTGAATAATCCTGTTTCAGAGAACTAAGAGTATGCAGAGAAAAACAAGAAACAAAGCTAGTCAAAGTTAAAAGAAAAAGAAAGCCCTGTTTCCTCTACTAATCTTACCCCAGGAAAATATCTATTTTTCTTGGAAGCAGCCAATTATGGGTAATTTTTAATGGTGACATCTGTAAGGCCTTTAATAGAGTTAAGATCTTTGTAATACTACTCTGAAGACAGAAAGAATTGTTGTTTATTTTAAAGAATAACAACAGTTGTTTATTGCCTTGCCAAGTATTCCTTGTACTTCCTGATTGCTAAATCTGTTGTGTAGGTTTTTTCTTTTATTCAAGAGAAATGCTGGTTAATAATATGCTTTATTTTGTGAAATAACAGAACTGACCTAAATTGTTTAGTTTTTGCTTAATGCTAACTATTGGGTTAGATCACATACTTATTTTGACCTGGCATGAACACAGAATTGGCTTGGTTAAGGAATGCAGGATCAGAGGGCAGGGGATTGGGAGTGGGGGCTGTTGAGCTACCACTTCCTAAGGAACTTTTAAAGTTTGAAGTGATTTATGCTTTCCAAATAAAAGGCAAGGCATTAAACACAAGATGAATTCCAAAGCACTAAAAGTATAAAAATATTCTGAGAAAGTCATCATGGATGGTTAGAAAAATATCCAGCTTGTTCTTTTCCCCCCAACCTACCTCTGACCAGTCTACGAGGTTGATGAGCCTGCTACACTCTAGGTGCAGTTTGTATGCTATGCAGATGTCTGGGGCGATATTCGGAATGCAGCCTTCTTCGCTTTTCAGTGCTTCATTCTAAAACATAACAGTAAACTAAGATGACTAACTTTTAGAAATTATTAGGAACAAAATCAGACATTAATGAAGCCCCCAACCTAAACTGAGTAAATCAGTAAATAGAATCTTGGTTTCCTTTATTTAGTGAGTGAGTCTATTCAGTAGTTAACCAGTTCTTGTTTAGGTTTGTCTTGGTCACAACCCCTCTAGTTCTTAGTAACTAGAAGAATATTCCCAGGATTAGAAGATAAGCATATTTTTCATTTCAATCCATAAATTACTAATTTCTGAGACCTGAATGCACTTGCTGTAAAAAGTTTATGGAGATCTTTAGGAATACTTAATAAAATGGTACTTCCAACAATTAGCTGAATTCTAACAATTACTATACTGTATTAGTAAATACTAATAATACCACTTACCAGGGGTATAGGGTATAAATTATTTTTTAAAGAAAAGACTATGTTGTCAACACTGCAGATCTTAAGCTCTATAGAAACCATCAGTGTTTTGAAATCTATGGGTTTACTGAGAAACACAAAGTCTTACATACATACCCTGCTTTGATATTATAATATCAGGGGGTATATTATATCCCACCCAACAACAACTGAAATCATACGAGTTCTCTTCTGTGACTCACTAGCCAAGAAGACAGATTTTGTAAGTTTTAATTTGTGGCTTATATATTAAAAATAACTGATTTTTTGGTTAAGTATGAAATTATTCAATGGTTTTCACCATCACTGAAAACCATTGACTTATATCGTCCTACTCAATACTCTTGTAATACTCTGCATGTTTGTGTGCCATTTTGCAATGAGAAGCCAATACACTGGAATGCTCTTCATAGGTTTTATGGAGTTGCTTCTTAAGTATTTACTGTGGCAAGATTTCTGCGTACTTAACTTAAAACTCTTTCATGTATATATAGCTTATTGAATGTTTAAAGTGATCATTTTGCCTGGTCATAAGAAAGCTAGTTTCTAAAACTGTGAGCTGTCTTGAGCTATTGTTTAAAGAGCTTCCAGGAGTTGATAACTGTGTCTGGACTTTAGCGAGGGCACTGCTGAAGTGTGTTGCCCCAGGAGTTTTAGTGGCAGACTGCTGGTTATCCTCTACACTCAGCTCTGCAGATGCTCTCAGAATAGATCTTTCTTTGGTTTAAAATCCAAGATGAAGTCCCAAAGTATTTCTCTTTCCCACTAGAAACAACCATTTCGGTCTTTCAGTAATTTATTAGGCCATATTGTTTAATCCCTATCTGCTGTTAAGTTTACAGGAAACATTTCCTTTATTTTCACAAGAGTAGTAACATACTCTTGAGTATTTGTGCCTATGATCTGACTTCAGCATGTCAAGGGCAAAGATTACACATTGTCAAAAACTGGCAGCAACAGTTGGCTACTAATTGGTATCTCTATGGGGTTAGACATTTTTTTCTACAGTCTAAAGCATTTTTAAAAATATAGGAGAGGTGCAACCCTGAGTTGCCGACTCTCTGCTCATTAAAACATAACTGCAAATTTAGAATATTTTTGTGACAATGACGCCCAGAGCCTGAGCTAAACTAGCTGAGGTTTAGTTTAGTTCTAAATTTGATTTAGTTCTCTGATTACAGGTGCCTGTAATCCCAGCTACTTGGGAGGCTGAGGCAGGAGAATCACTTGAACCCAGGAGGTGGACATTGCAGTGAGCCAAGATCGCACTACTGCACTCCAGCCTGGGCAACACAGTGAGACTCCATCTAAAAAAAAAAAAAAAAGAGAGAATTCAATAATGGCAGTTTCATTTTTGGTAAATTTTTAAATATAATCTTGATATAAGTTGAAATTTCTGAATCTTTATTTTGAATTTAATCCAAAATGAGACCAAACCTAAACTAAACTAAATCAGAGAACTAAATGTTCATCTTACCTTTAGATAATAGTAAGGATTGTTGAGTGCAGTATGGAGGGCAATTCGCGGAGCAGCATTTAAATGCTCACGAAGGGCATGGGCAGCGCTGAAGTACACCACCTCATGGAGAGGCTGTGTCTCAGGAGGCAGAAGGTATTCTCTGAAACAGCCAGTCAGGCATCCATGTTTAGATAAGCACAGGTTTATTTTCTTTACATATATACATATATACATTTTTTTCCTTTTAGGCTCTGTTGGACTTCAATTTCCACTACGACATTTTTGTCAATCCTCTCTCCGTAGAGGACCGAACCATTTACTAAAAGCAAAATCAACAACCAAAAACAAACGAAACAAACCCAAATATCAGATCTAATACAGTTTCACTCAGAATTGCATCTCTTCCATATAATGGGTTTTAAAACTACCTCTAGATTCTTTATAAGAAGCTGTATATTTCAGTTCTGAGTTAAACCTTTAGGAACAAATGTACATATACTATATTTCTGCTCAGAAATCTTTAAGATAGCATTTCTTAAAGTAAATGAGAAAACAGATATCTACATTTTCTAGCACTACAAACATTTAACCTTTGGCAATATTAAACAAAGGCCCGGAATTAAGAGTTCAGGAAATTCTTCTTGGATCACAGAAAATTTTTAGTTGATATCTTTCATGGAAATGACACCTCAAAAGTTTTTTTTTTTGAGACTGAGTTCCACTCTTGTCGCCTAGACTGGAGTGCAATGGTGCAATCTCGGCTCACTGCAACCTCTGCCTCCTGAGTTCAAGCGATTCTCCTGCCTCAGCCTCCCGAGAGGCTGGGATTAGAGGCGCCCACCAACACGCCTGGCTAATTTTTGTATTTTTAATAGAGATAAGGTTTCACCATGTTGGCCAGGCTGGTCTTGAACTCCTGACCCCAGGTGATCCACCCGCCTCGGCCTCCCAAAGTGTTGGGATTACAGGTGTGAGCCACCTCGTCCAGCCCAAAAGTTTTTTATATATTGGAATTACTTTTTACGTTAGAAGGCAGAAAAGGTTAAATCTTAGTTTCAGAGTATTGAAAAACAAATCATTAATAAAATTTCACTTATAAAAAAATCTGCCATAATTTGGGATTTTTTTCACCTATAAGCTAGATGATAAAACAATTTTAATAAATTCTGAACTAAAAAATATGGCATTAAAAATTCACTTAGCGTGTATAATGAGCCCATCAGGTGGTCTATGCCATGACAGTGATATCATCCGGGATTCCTGGAGGGTAGCAAATTGGAGGGGAGAAGCTTTGGCACACATAACCCATAGACAGAGTAATGTCACTAACTGGATTAAAGTATATAGTTAACTCACATGACTTCATAAAGAAGATTTCTGGGGCTTAGTCCAACCCTGAGCCTAAAGTATTTTGGCCACATGACAGCTTGTGTCAGCTCCTTTCCCCACCAGTACAAGCAGAGCAAAGCAGCTACCTCAGCCCAGTCACGGGACATTATTCCCCTTCTTCCAAGTATCCTTTCTCTTCTTCTGGAGAGGATACCACTCCCTAGAAATCCCCTACACTTGTGTTGTCCCAATGTGGCCAGGAGCTTTGAAGAAGAGAGGAAGTGGAAAGGGTATTCAACATGGACATCACTCTTCACCATACCCCTTTCCTCCCTCATCTCAAGAGCTAATGACCCCCTTGCTCAATGTAATTCTAGGTGCTGCTCCTTCTCCAGAGTCAACTGGAACAAAACTTGCTTGCAAAGAGTGTATGATTTTGACTTAATTCTCACTAAGGACCGGTATTCTATACCTCAGATACTGTTAACATCTTAATTACTCAAGGTTAAGTTAACTTAGCTGTAGCTTCAGGAAACAGTTTCTGTGATGGCTGGCTACCAATTTGTAATTTCTGACCATAAACTCTTCCTACACTAACCTCATGCAGTTATTTCCCAATCAGTATACATGGCTGTCATTAAAAGATCTTGTTGCAGTCCCTGCTATGTAATAAGGATTGGATATCTAACAAGGCAACCAGACAGAGTCAATTTTTACATGTGATTTATAGAAATGCAAGCATTTCCCAAGGCAAAAGACCTCTCTATCCTCAAAGAACCATCAGAGCAAAAATAAAATATCTGCCTTAATTTTGTTTCCACTGGCTACATTAGTTGAACAACAACAATGACAAATATGTTATACATTAGAATTTTTATCTGACTGTAGACTTGGAGATTGGCATAGAAATATATTTCTGTGACTTATTTACGTGAGAAGAAATAAGCAATGAGTCTGGCACTAGAGCACTGCATTATGCTCATTTTGGATTCAGACCAGACAAATGATAGGCCTTCCCTGAAAGAGTTGGTTCTGAAGGAACTGGTAGAATTAGTATCAACAAGGGCTACAAAGTTGAAGCTTGCTATTGGCAAAAACAGTAACTTAGAAAGTGGTAATTTATTCTCAGCTCTTAAGATCTGGCAACTTATTCTTGCCTGTGTTTTTGCCAAGAGCTGCTCATAGTATACTGTGAACTCTGCCTCCTGAAGTCTCCTGCTTATATTTGTCTTTAAAGGACATCCTTTCTCCATAACCCCAAGCTCTGCCCAGATGTCTGTGGTGTGGCCATTGAGGGCAGTATAAAGAAATGGAGAGGGCCTTTTGACAGGTGTCAGGAGAATGAGACTGTGTGGCCTTGCATGAGTCACAGCCCCTCTCTGGGCTTTAGCTGCCACAGGACTGACTCTTCAGTTCTCTTTTAGCTTTAACATGCTATAATTCTAATCTCTTCCCTCCTGGGACAATCTTGGTAAAGACACTAAATCCTAGTATGGGAGATTTTGTGATTTTACAACAAAACACATTTAATCATACTGAGGATTATTTCAACAACTGCTCAGAAAGGTAAAAAGTCAGACATATTAGGTGAAGGATCATGAAAGGGGAATGGCTGATGTGGTTTCAGAGCCTACAATTTGGAATTTGTAAGAACTCTGGAACCTGACATTTGGCCTAAAATTGGCAAATCACATTGTAAAATTATTTTTAGTGACTACTTGGTAAAAGGGAAGAGTCAAGAGTTTGGGGCTAGACACTCTACAAGAACAGGAAAGCCCAGTAGGGCAAGGTTAACTCTATGAGTTCTAAAATGTAATTTTTGACCAGCATTTGGCCAATATTGCAGTTCATCACTTTTTTTTTTTTTCTCCTCGAGATAGAGTCTTGCTCTGTTGCCTAGGCTGGAGTGCAGTGGCACGATTGCCTTACTGCAACCTCTGCCTCCTGGGTTCAAGCCATTCTCCTGCCTCAGCCTCCCGAGTAGCTGGGATTACAGGTGTGCGCCACCATGCCCAGCTATTTTTTTGTATTTTTAGTAGAGTTGGGGTTTCACCATGATGGCCAGGCTGGTCTCAAACTTCTGACCTCAAGTGATCTGCCCACCTTGGCCTCCCAAGGTGCTGGGATTACAGGTTAACCGTTTTGGACCTTTTCATGGCATTAGCAATTTCTCCCCAATGAGTAGGAACAATGACTGTCCCCACATTATTCTGGAAAACAAAACTTTTAACTTTCAGAAAAGACATGTAATTTGTCAGAAAAGCACTCTTTCTCTTTAATAATTGTGCTGCTATTTTCTCAGTACTTTATTCAGTGCCTAGCCTTCTGTTGGGTTTAAACTGCTATTAAAATTTACAATAAACATGTTCCCCCCTCACCACACTTTTTAGGTTATTAAATCATCTTCTTTTGCACACTTCTCATTTTTTTTCTGTAGCATGCCCAACTTCCACCAAAATTAGGTGGGTGATTTTACACAGCTACATAAAGCTGACTTTTGGGAAATCCATGAATCAGAATGATCTGGGTTTCCTAAAAAGGAATCATCCTAAAATACAGGCTGGATTGGTAGACTTCTAAATTTACCAAGCACATGTCTCAACATAAATTTAGTGCACCTGATAATGAGGTGCGCTGGCATTGTTTAGAATTAAATGTTCTTTCTTTAGGATAAAATAGAGCAGCATGGCTAGTCTGCTCTGTTTTCTGGGCTTGGCTCAGATCCAGCATTTACTCCTAGCAAAGATTAAGTGTAATATAAATACTTTGTTATTAGATAGGGGAGAAACACTCACTTTCTAACTCATCTCTCCCCACCTGGCCTAATGAAGTAGATCAAATTTAAGCCTATATTCTTGAACTGAGAGTAAAAGAATGAACTAAGTCATTTGATTATACATCTTGATAATGATGGAAAAGGAATAAAAATTACAATTCTAAGCTGGATGGAGAGACATGAAAAGCATAATGCCTAACCTGGGAGAAAAATGTTCTGGATTAGCTATAGACAGCTATGACACCAGTGTTATTGGAAAAACAGCATGATTTTTAGCTCTTAAGAGCTAAATTTAGACTTACCTCACTAGACAGTCAATGAAGTTCACAGCATTTTCTCTGAGTACTTCAAATTTGGTTTGCTTCTTACTTCTTCTTAACTCCTTCATTTCCAATAAGGACTATGGATAAAAGAACATACCTTTTCTGGTGATCCTGAGACAGAAAACCCCTCAGAGGGAGCTCTGTTGCTAAGTTCTATAGAAGCAGCTGATGCCTTTTCCATAAGACAGGATGTACAGAGAAATATCAAAATGGGTTTTGTTTATTCGTTTTATTTTTAAGGTCTGGCAAGAATCTCTCCTCAAAGGTGTTTTGCTTTATAATATACAAGTAAATTTTTAGGGAAACAGGAAAAGGGCAGTTCACTTTACTACTAAACTACATGGCAGAGTGCTCGGTATCCACAGTTCATTAATTCATTTAAGAAAAGGACTTAACAGGATAAAGAAAAAAATCTTGCCTTTTTGCCATACTAACAGAATAGGTTCCATGTGTTTTATTTTACTTAGATTGAACTTTTACTCTACATTTATCATAATTTGGTATCATAGTACAAAGAAGGTTCTTCATTTTGACAATCAAGATCCTAAAGTTAGAACTATCTCAAAAAGCATATATTGGACATTCTGTGGCTCAATTTCCACTCTGTACTTGAATATGCATTTTAAAAAATCAAGAAAAGTAACTAAAACTAATGAGTTAGGCTCTTTTAAATCTCTCAGTTTGATCAAACAGAAAAATACATCAGATAAAAAATCAGATTTCTTTTGTGCAGTCATGTTCCCATTTTCTCTTATTGCTAGCTAATTCTTTCTCTTGCTGAGCCCACAGAATGGTTTCCACCTATGTTAGCTAGTAGATTCCAGAATGGGTATATGTAGAGTGATGATGGCAATGGGACTAACAGGATGTTCAACTTAGAAGTGAGTTAAAAGTCTGCTTTGTTCCTGGTTGTGGTTTAAAAATGAAAACAAAAACATCCAGGCAGAGCTAATCTAGAGGACAAACTGAAGAGAGGGAGTGTCACAGGATGCACCTGGAAGGAAGGAAAGTGATCTGACCTTCTGAAGATGATACAGGTCTGTCTTCTGAAGCCCCTTTGGCTGTGACCCAGAAGCATCTTCTTCCTCTTTGTTTTCTGCTTTTAATACAAAACCAATAGACATCAATGAGGGTAAATCCAAGTCAAAAGAACAAACATTTCTACTATTCCAAAGGAAGTAAAAGTTTCACCTATATATATATTTTTAATGTGGCAAGAGATCAAGATTCCATCTGATAAATGATTTCTTACAGAAGCTGAAGGCCAATAATACATAACTTGTGCTGTAGTGATGTCTTCAAAAAACCAGCTACTAAATTTTAGAAGTGTTACCACAATGAAAACAAAACAAAATACAACCTAACAAAACTCCCTCAAACCAACAGCAAAAAGTCTCAAAAAAAATTTTTTTTTTTTTTTTCAGATGGAGTCTTGCTCTGTTGCCCAGGCTGGAGTGCAGTGGCGCCATCTTGGCTCACTGCAACCTCCTCCTCCCAGGTTCAAGTGATTCTCCTGCCTCAGCCTCCCAAATAGCTGGGATTACAGGCGCCGGCCACCATGCCTGGCTAATTTTTGTATTTTTAGTAGAGAAGGGGTTTTGCCATGTTGGCCAGGCTGGTCTCAAACTCCTGACCTCAGGTGATCCA